TTCTTATATTAATGGTCGATTAAACTTATATATATATATATATATATATATATATATATATATATATATATATTTATTTACTGGTGTTTGGCAAAAGTTTAGAAATTTTACACCCCCATGAAAATTACAAAAATAATTTTTTTTTTTAATTTAAAGATATTATATTTTTGTGTGCTTACTAGGTAATATATATATATATATATATATATATATATATATATATATATATATATATAAACCTATGTTGAAAAATTAGTACTTACATACATGGAAAATATTGTTTTTGATCATTGCCTCAACTCTGCCAAACTTTTTTTTTTTACGGATCAGATTTTGACTTTTTGCATTCCAGTTGTCTTTAATCATTCCTTCAGATGATCTGTGATCATGATTTTCATTGCTGTAATCTCTTTTTTTTTGCTATTGATTTTATAATATTCTACAGATAGTCTATCTGATCAAGTTCCGATGAGTTGGGCAGCCATAACATCATGATCCTGAAACTATTTTACTTATGTGTAAAGGGGATGGTATGGATCCCTGTTCTTCATAAAAATGATCCTGTTTCTTATCTGCATTAATATTAGGCCTTACTTTTTCCTATTGTTTAAGACATAAAAATAATAGAAAATGAAAAAAAATTATACTGTTAAAATGAAACTTTTTTTAACAGTATATATGAAAAAAATAATACAGTTGCATGAAGGAGTGTAAGATGAGACAATCATGTATGAATATGTAATTGAGCAGAGAATAATAGATTAGTAATTCAAAGATATATTTTTTTAAGATATTACATATTATTTCAGTTCATCAATAACAGATGATGACTGTATATCTTTTAAGGAAAAGATAGCCAGACCAAAAGACTTGGTGGAGTAGATAGAAATAAAGAGGTTTTCTGGATATATAGCCACACTGTACTTACAAAATAAAAATGTATAAGGAACAAAGTCTTTAAATTTCTAAGATAAAACATTGTCATCTTTATTCATTTTTGATAATTTTCTTTTATTTCTGCTGCATTTTATTGCAATTCTCTGGCTGTTTTTACGTTTATTCTTTAATTATTAAAGTAGAGATTAAAATTAAAAGCATGATTTGAACCTTCATCCTTGAAGCCTGTTTTATCAGAAGTGCCTTACTGATTACATTCTGAAAGCTCAACCGATATGTGGAGTCATAGAACTACATTCTCTTCTCCAGTTTCTACTGTTATTATTTACACTGTAGGTTACCCAGATCAATATACACCTGAGGAATGCACAACAGCCAAAAGATTGTAATGAGGACAATAGTCTGAATATAAATAATGATAGCTCCTCATCCCAGAAATTTAGACAGAAATTCTACTATCTCTGTCTATATTTCTGAGATGAGGTATTGTAACTATTTACATTTTGGAGTGTTATCCTCATCTTTATTGTCATATTTACAATGTTTTGGCCGTTGTACTCTCCGGCCTTCTTCAGGTGATATACATTGGAATTTCAAACCTTTATTTTGCTCAATAGAGTAGATTGTTCTAGTTCCATATACCATATATATATATATATGTAAAGATTTATCAGAACTAACCTGTAGAAAAAGACAATATTTATGAAGGAAAAAAGACAATTTTGATTTTATAAATACTACATTCATAAAAAAAAGAAAATTATTCATTCAGAAGGAAAATCCTTGAGATTTTGTTTGTTGTTTATAGATACTTTGTTTCAACAAACTCATTTTGTTTTTTGTCTTGAAGTCCACATTGAACGAAACACGTTGAGGAAAACTACTGTTTTCCTATTGTCTTTTTTCCTATATATATATATATATATATATATATATATATATATATTACTCAGAGAATGCATTGGTTATAATCAGAATATTACCAAGGGCCAAAAATGTATAATTTAATCCATATCCTCTTTTTCTACATTACATATATTTTAATGAATTAATGGATATTTATTTTTAATCTGACATTTTTTTTCTGGAATGTGCAGGCTGATAGATGTGATACACTGTTTATAATATATAAACTATTATCATAAACTATAATTTCAAAAAGTGAAATTTTCACTGAAATATGCTGCAAAATTTTCTGAAATCAAGAAAATACAAACTTTAAGTAAAATGGTTACAATATATAGAAAAAAAGGTGGTGCCAGTTTAAACTGACCCCAGGATGATATTGGACAAATAGCAACAACAAGAAAGACTGCTTACTAATGAAGTGGCAGATCACATTTTGATTACATTATATAATAATAGTAAAGAAAAAGGATATAATATTCTTATAGAATAAAAATGGTGTAATTTGTTTTTAGAAGCATCTAAATTTCATAATGTAAGCTGAGATTTTCCTGGTAAAAAACAAAAACAAAACAACAACAAACAAACTGAAGTAAAATAAAAATGGCTTATCTGTGCAGGAAAGAGAATAAAGAACATGATAAAATTCCAGTGAAACTTGAAAGAAATCTAACATTGCAAGTGTTTAAGTAAGCAGCACAAAAAAAGAAACAAGGAAATGCAAAATAAAAATAGATGGAAGAAAAGCAGTGGAAAAGAGGAGTTTGAAGACACCAAGCAGAATCGATAAAAGGTAACAGGGAAATAAAGGAGCTAAGAACAAAGGTAATTGAAGTTGCATTAAAAGAAATTCATACTGCATGTATTATCTTCTTGAATATATTCAGAAGAGAATTGTGCAGCATAAAGATAATATGACTGATTGTAGGAAGTTTCTTTTTTTAAATGTCTTGTCTTTTGAAAAACAAAACTAAAGTTTGGTACAGTATTTGTAGTTTTTGTTAACCATTGTACGAAAATTTGTTTTTATAGTATTTCTGATCAAGATAACAACCAAAATTAAATGAAATACAATTTTGATAACAAATGGTATTGGTTACAGTTAACTATAGTTGAGAAGATTTCAAAAGGTTACTAAATTTAATACTTTTTCAAAATAAGAGGAAATATTAGATTATAGTTTTAACTTAAAGATTCCCACCATAAAATCTGGTACTAATTATAGAAATTAGAATAATATCTGGTACTAATTATACTTCTACCTATTAATGTTTACTGTCCTAAAAATGGGACATAGGCATTAATAAGTTGTTTGATTTTTTTGATGATCCATTTACATTATTATTACTTTCAGATTATGTTCAAAAATTGATATTGCAGCTCAATTCACAATGAAATAAATAAATTGCAAGTCCAAACTTGAAGATCCAAGGGGCAGAAAGAAATGTCAAAATCAGGAATTGCAGGTCTAATATCACAAATCCCAATATGTGTAAATGGTCAGAAATCCAACATACACCACTAGATGTCAATATGATCCTATTTGATTTTATCCATTGTTTACATCTAGAAGTAGTGTTCTTGAGTTGCCTGAATGTCTTAAATTAAGCATTTTCCTTTATAATGAAAGATACATCAGTCTAAAACTAATAATTATGAAAATGCTTAATCTAAGGACCTAAGACATAGTGGTCACAACAGTTTTGTCTATGTTAGATGGGTTCTCAAGCATACTGGTTGAGAGTTCAAATCTCATTAGAAACAACTTTATTTCCAATTTATACTGCTTACTTAATGTAAACAACTTGTGAGTTGTATTAAAATGTAGCAATAATCTGAAGTTAATAATAAGGCTAGATTATATTTCTGTTTGAATTTCTGGGATGAGGAGTTATCATTATTTACAGTATTTATTTTTTTAACTATTGTCCTTATCTTTGTTGTTGTTATCACAATGTTTCAGCTGTTGTACCCTCAGACCTTCATCATGTGTATATCGATCTGGGTAACCTACAGGGAATTCTGAACTGAACTCTTTATTAAATTTATGGGGTACACTGTTCTCATTTCACTGCCCGTGTATAGGGATATCTAGTTTAGTTTTTATTTTTAGTACTGCTCACTTATTGCTTGCCTAGTTATCAGTGAGTCCAAGCACACACTGCCCATCCCAGGGACTGAACTTACAATTACCATGTCCCCAAATTCATGGACAAATGCTTTAATCCACTAAGCTATTGTCCTGTAGAATTTCCTGTAGGTTACCTGGATAGATATACACCTGATGAATGCCAGAAGGCACAAGTGCTGAAATGTGATAGCAATAACAAAGATGAGGAGAATAGTCTGAATGTAAATAAGGTTATAGATGAAAAAAAAAAAAAAATCAGGTGAATACTTATTTAAAAAATAAAATAAAAATTAAAAACGAAAAGAATGCAGTGGATACAATCATAAAGCACATTGAAATTCCCCAAGGCATTACAAAAAAAATTGCAATATTGCAACCTTGGAAAATACCATATTTGATGGTATACAAGATCCACATTTTACCCATAAATTTCTAATAAGTGCACTAAAAGAACCCTGTTTTGAACTGGGCCAAAATAGGCAACGTGTGTGGTCTTCTGGTACATTTAATGTATAATCCAACAATTTTCTTAATATTCTCCTGGTGGAATGGGGAGGGGAACTTAAAGGTATGGTACCTGTCTCCTAGGAAAATTCAGCAGCTGCTAGCAATACATGTTCTTGTGAGTATGAAAGAATAGATTTTTATGTTCATTTTCATTTTGGTTTTTTGAAAGTTTCTTCACATGAAATCATGCTGAATATTATTCTGAGACATGATGCAAATTTCAGATTCATAAATGAAAAGCTGATAAACATTTAAACTTAATTTTTGAAAAGTATATCTAAACAAACTTCCTACAAAGTCTTACCCAATAAAACTTATTGGTACAACATACTATAATGGTTGTTAGTAGGAGATAGCAGAATGTGCATAACCGTGTTGTCTAAAGAGATTCCCACAAAGAACAACAGTGAAAATAGGGAAGGTAGAAAACACAAAGGAAAACAAAAAGGCATGTTGTATAAAGTTGCCATGCATGGCTTGAACACACAGGCACATAATGCAATGTACACAAGAGGCAACAACAGTGAGGTGCACGTTGTGTTGTTGGGGTAGAGCTTACTTTTTCATGCTTGGATTTGTCATATTTTCGAAAGGTTATTTTCTGCAGGTCACTCTCTGACTGGAGTTTGTTCAGGTGTTTTGCTCGGTCCTTGACGCTTGTAATTGTAGGAGGAGCATCAATTATTTCTTCCTCAGATGC